GATCCTAGAATGGATCCTCATGGATCCTAGAATGGATCCTCATGGATTCTAGAATGGATCCTCATGGATCCTCATGGATCCTAGAATGGATCCTCATGGATCCTAGGATCTGCTTTTTCCCCCTTGCATAAAACATCTGTAGTGGAAGTCCTACTCATAGTTCTTGAACATAATCTATTGTTCTAAGCTCAAAAAGTCTTCGATAGGCCTTTTCATTGTCCATCTAGTGTTTATTTACATTGATGAGGACTGTAGGAGTTTTAGATCGAAGGAACTGGTTCACAGTTGTTTGTTATTTGGTCTATCAATCACAGTTTTTAAGAACTCAGACAGGTGGATCAGCTAAAATCCCAGTAACTGAAACTTGCGAATGCGATCGACTTATTGTAACGACAACTAGTGAACTAGCTCAGTTTTCTAGAAATGGAATAGGTCAACCAATTCCTAGATCTGAATTGATACGAACCTACTACAGTCTTAGATTCGGTTCTGTGTTTACCTTCTGAAGGCACAAATAAATTGTAAACAATAGATGTTATATGATATCAGTAGCGTCAAGTCAGAGAGTTGAATTCAATTATTGAAGCTTCATTCAACTCATTAAGTATTCAAATATGAACTATTAAAATCTTCAACTATTCGACTGACTCAAGATCACTAGTTCGTGATGCCTTGATTCTTTATCATGCCTACCGACTAGTAGTATCCCGAGATTAGCTGAATACTTCAATACCTAAATATCTGAGTGGTTGAAGACCTGAAGTGTTGATTTTTAAATTTCAGATATTCAATAATTCAAATTCCAAATCAAACTTCACATGTATAGATCATAACTTTCTACTAACCAGTAAAAGAAAAAATGTTGTTTTTTTGTATAGTATCCTGCCGCACTTGAATGCAGAAGACTTGCACTAACTAAGGATCAGGAAATATGAATGGATGGGTGGAGATATAAATATGTCTGGAGGAGAGCTCGACTTTGAATATGAAGGCGGTGGTATAGACAAAAACCTTTTAGTATAACCTATACGAGATTTAAATAAGAAACAAGATGGAGTCACTTTAATAGTAACGTGGCTCTGCAATAGTATCTATCACAGTATTGCTAGAGACCAAACATCAGTAGGCAAACAAAACTCTTGAGACTCACAAACTATGACAGATATACTGAAAGCCCCTCAAAATGTCTGTTGTGATTTGGATGATGATCCTATGGAGATGAGAGTTCATTTTTCTCGCTATACATTGCAACACACATTTCTAATCATGTTTTACAAAATATTTATTGGAGTCAAGAAATTTTTTTATAGAGGGAACATACGGGAGTAGAGGTATAAACCGAAGGGTCAAACAGCGGCAATGGTTTTAATTAGGGATGCACCAGTCTCAGTTCTGACTGGTGAACT